ATGATATTTGTCTAAAAAGAAGATATTCGCCAATTTTTCTATAAAAACTTTTAGTATTTTTACACAAACTCAATTTCAATATGATCGACAATATTCTAAGCTTACTCTTCATTTATGCAAGCTAACAACAGAATTTTCCAAGCCACTTGGAGTTCAAATGATTTGTAAAATATTACAGACAGTTCGAAACAATTTTAAAACAATCAAGAGCAGTCAACTGTTGTGCCAGTAGCGCAGAATACTCTGAGCGCTGTAGATCAAACGCACAGAAACTTATAAACTGTTTAGAATAGAGAAGTTATTTCTCAAAATTCTTTTTCTTTGAGATTCCTAAACTCTAGCAAAAACCAAAGCCCACAATACGCCATATTTCCTTCTCACACCAGTGAAAGTTTTAATGAACAATTTACGTCTTTATTTTAATGCTCCAACCATCAGGCCACCGCAGCAAAAAATCAGCCTACCACTACCAAATGACAGCAAACAAAAACAGGAAAAAGAATTTAATAAAATTTAACAAGTTATAATATATGTCCAGCAGTTTAAACAATCTTCAAAATAATCTAATTGAACCCACACATTCTAATATCTTCAACGAGTTTTTAGAACTTTGAGCTCAAAAACTTTGTTTGTTCGTAATTTTTCCAGACATTATCGTTCGCGTCCGAAACAGTTGCACAGCAGAGTCAAAAAAGCGATAAGAATCATAGCCGAATGAGGCGAAAAAAATTGCGGCTCTTCCATCTCTTCCTTCTTTTTTTTCTTCGCCTACGCTCTTTATTCTTTTGTTATTATGAACCTAATGTAGTCTGATTGTTATGATAAAATTATTAGTTATTATCAAATGGCTGAAATAGATATCAATGAATTGTTGCAAAAATGATCAATCGGTGAAGAAAATTTTGAAAGTTATTCTCGAAGATTTCTTAACTAAAGACAAATGAATCATAAAACTAAGTTTTGACAGAGCTGCTAGAAATGGAGGTAACCACAATCTACTCAAACGAATGCTCTCAATTGAATCAATGAGTTAAACAGACATATGCGAGCTGTCAAACTTAAATATAATATTATTAAGATTCCACAGAAGGGTTTTGCGAGTAATTTGAATGTATTACCGTGTATATTTACATTAAGTGAGACATGGCGAAAATGACTTTACATAGTTTTTGTTCTGATTACTCTGACTTCTCATTGTTACGAATAGAAAAATGGAGGTGAAGGCGTTGCGATGAGGGTTTTCAAAAAGTTTCAAATTAGCAGTGACCTGAAGACTTTAGACAACAAAGTAAAATTGAATCATAATGACACCATGAAAATGATCTGCCAGTACAGGACGCCGAACAAAAATAAAAAATTTTCAGCCAGCACCGCATCCATCATGCTGTATACTCAAACTGTTTACGGAATTGATGATAACAAGGCTCACGGCCATTTTTGCAAGATCACTAGATCAAGAAATACGAATTTTTAAGTTTCTCCTTCATTTTAAGATTGGGATATCTCATTTCAGTTTCATCTGACCGCTAATTTTATTTCTTAACCATCGTATCAATTGAGCGATCTAAATAAACATTACTCTGATTGCAAAACAGTTCGAGTGTAAAATGTTCATGATTTTTTTTTTGCAGAAGATATTGTCATTATGGAAAAATGATGAACTTTCTGTGGGTATTTCAAAAGTCATTGACTGGATGAAATAAAATCATCTCACTTTGAACAAAAATAAAACGATATATAGTGATACTCCAAGTCAAAACAGCAGCGTCAGGTTCAATTGCATTAGACAACAAAGCATGTGAGCAGGGTTCAGTTATAAAGTTTTTAGGAGTATTCGCTGATTTAAAAACTGTGTGTCGATGCTCACATTAATTACATTAAAGCTATCAAAATAATGTGGTATTTTATACAGGTCAGGTAAATTTTTCGTAGCAAGCATCTGTTTATTACTATTATAATTTCATAAAAACAATCATTCTGCATGTTGTTTTAATAAACGGTAGTTCAAAACTGCAGTTTTGAAAAGGCAAAACGATTAGCACTAAAAAATATTTTACAAAAGATATCGTGATTCCGGTGTGAATATGTGTACTAGAATTATATCTGTATAAACGCTTTAAAGAGGCAATCAAATATTTTTTGAATGCTAGCAACTTAGACCGAAAGAATCTTTTACAGCCCAACCGAAGTCTAAAACTAAAAAAATTATGATGCCAATTTCTAGGAGGCTTGTGGTTCTGCTGAAATTCAATTAATTTGTTTTTGTTTTACTTCATGTTTTCCAAAAGTCAAGACAAATTGCAGACGTATTTGCTTCTATATAATATTTAATGAAATCAAAGCTTACACCGAAAAAATGATCCTATTTGGTGCGGCAATGGTCGAAAAGCCAAAATGGCATTATAAAAGTTGAGGATTTTCGCGGCTTTCACAGACTATACCGACAATAGGCCTCGAATAAGTGATGTTTTTACAGTGGCGGATTAAAATTTTTGTCTTCGAGATTTGGAGTCTAACCTTCTCGCCTCTGCGCCACGGGCCGTTGAAAAGTTGCTAACACTAGCCACCAATGATGCAGCTATAGATGGTAAAAAATTGACAATACTAGACAGCAGAAAGCAGATCAAAATTAAATAAAACTAGTGCTAAGTGCGGACTTGAACATCCGACCAGTAGCATAGAAATCTCACGTCCTTCCATCTGTGCCACGGACGATTAACGACCGGCGAACAACAGCCACAAATAAAGCAGAGAAGAGATGCTATGAAATTTTCGATGCTACAGATCGTGATAATAGCAAAGTGACTTCAAATGAGCACTTTTATTTGCGAGTTGGATTGGAAATCAAATGGAGTCGTATTAGTACACGGTGGCTGGTGTAATCAAAATTTTGTATTTTTTCTGCATTTGTATGTGAACGGGAGGTTATCGCCATTAAAACTTCGGGTACATAACGTTTACAGGAACATTTTATGCCTATTGCGATTTTATGCGATTTAAAACAGAATTTAGGACTTGGCAAGCCATTAATCCGCGCTCTACATTGCTTTGAAAAACAAAAACATTCAACCAATTTTCATCGAAAATCTATGAACCTTTGAACCTTTAAAAACAATACATTTGTATATCGAATTTCGACTGAAGGGGATTCATTATGATACCACATTTACCACTTGTGAAAAAATCCACTCTACAGAGGAATTAATAAAAACTAGCGTGTAACGCACCTCCGGTGCTTCAAGCAAGTTAGTGAACAAGAAAGCTGCTTATACATAACAAGTATGTTTGTTTTCAAAATTTGAACGATAAAAACAATTTTTACTCAAAGATTTTTACTCAAACTAAAAAGGTCAAATCTCCCAACTAGAAGTTTTCAGATCTTTGTACACGAAACCATAAATCGGTCTACAGTATACAAGTGCATTTTCCATTTTTCAAAAATTGAAACCTTTTTTATTGCAAAAGCATCAAATGGGATTCATAATCCAGCGTAACTAATCTTTAAATATTAAACACTTTTTTCTTAATTTAATTGTAAATTCAATGTAAAAATTTAAGCGATAATATAAGTTTGTCAATTGGGAAAAGAATCGGAAGTTGAAAGGATATAGTTTTCACATTGCAAGGTTAAATTAGTGGATTCACTCTAACTCAATCCACTACTTCAACGTTGCAATGTGAAACTAAAAAAATCCTGGTGATTTTCCTGTTCAATAAATTTATTTTAAAAGTCTACTTCCCATGCCGCGCTCCTATTACCGCGAATTTCCTCTGGCACTACTTTTCTTTGGTCTAGTTGAATTGCAATTAACAGCTGAGCTAAAAATTGCAATTCAACTAGACCAAAGAAGAGTAGTCCCAGAGGAAATTGGCGGTAATAGGAGCGCGGCATGTGAAGTAGGTCTTCTAAATAAAATGATTGGACGGGAAAACCACTGGGATCTTTTTAAAGTAAAATGGTCAAATCTTCACAACTACTGGTTTCAGATCTTCGTAACCGAAACCATAATACGGCCGACAGCATACAACTGCACTTTTTATAATAATTTGCAACACCTGAGAGTACCCTGACATCACCTATTTACAGGGTTGAGATTTTCAACTTTTGTCAGGTTTTAATATACTGTTCGATTTTTTTTTCTCGAAAAAATCATTAAAAAAACGTCGTATCTCGGAAACTTAAAGTATTTGAGCAGTTATTTTTTGAGGAAAAAATTGGAACACCTGAGAGTACCCTGACAGCACCTATTTACAGGGTTGAGATTTTCAAATTTTGTCAGGTTTTAATATAATGTTCGATTTTTTTTCTCGAAAAAATCATAAAAAAACGTCGTATCTCGGAAACTTAAAGAAGTTGAGCAGTCATATTTAAAGGCACAATCTGAAAGCAACTCACACCATACACTTGAGAATTTCACGTTTTTGTCACGTTTTTATATATGAGTTCTTTGAACATTGTTGAAAGAATTATAAAAAAAACTTCATATCTCGCAAACTATAAGTATTTAAGCAGTCAGCTTTTGAAGCAAGATTTGCAACCCCTGAGAAAACCCTGACACCACCTAAGTACAGGGTTGGGAAGTTCAATTTTTGTGGATTTTTTTAAACGAAGTTTTATGAAAATGTTTGAAAAAATCACAAGAATCTTCGTATCTCGTGAATTTAAAAGATTTGGGTATTCATATTTGGAGCCCAATTTACAGTCCTTTAGGGTTGCTACTTTCAAACTCAAAAAAAAACGGTGAAGTCAAGCTGGAAGTCAAAATTTTGGCCGACTGACCTTAAAATTCTCCCTTCACAAAAACTTCGTTTAGACGCCTGAAGAAGTGGCTATTCAAAATCACACTTCATTTTGAAAAACCAGTTCACTGTTTTTTTTTCAATTGTCTCTGCAATTTCCTCCATATTATTTATCAATTTATGTACTAGATTAAAAGAATTAAAATATATTTTTTTGAATATTCAATTTCATTCAATGTAATCATTACTAAATGATAAAAAAAATAGAAAATTTATGTTAACACTTTACAATATAGCGATGACAATAACTATCATAAAATTTATATGAAATCTAATGCCAATATCACAAGACGAAATTCGAAAGTAAAGTTTAATTCAGATAGAATCGAAGATGCTGATTTCAGAACGAATGCAGTTTGATTCTTTAAGACATGGAAGCGACAATTTGATTGATCTGTTCTGCCGTGACCCGTTCGATACATTAGATGAGATTGAGACGAGTCAGCAGATGTCCAGAGTTACATGTCCATTTCTTCTGCTAGCCATTCATCCGTCAACTCCTCGTGGTTTGACACTTGATATAGCTGGAACAACACAACTGCCAGACTTCGTATAGAAAATCCAATTAACTAAGATACCCTTTAAAAAGCTCGGTAGGTTATCAATATTAGTAATTAAAGATTAAATTTGATTTTTTAAGATCACCAGAAAAATTGCTTGCGGTTAAATTGCTTTGATTTTTGAAGATCTTTAGAAAAACTTGCTATTATCTCTACATAAAATTTATTCGTTAAAAATTTTTTTCCGATGTAACTTTTCACTTCGCGCATCGCGGTCATTTTTATCCAGCTAATCAGCTCACTTAACCGGAAAAAGTAGATATATTTTAACTTTTACCCATGTATAGTATCTAGTAAAACAACCCCCCTAATAAAGAACTAAATCAATCGTAAGGCATATGTGAATTAAGTACCTCTTTAACTCTCCCTTTTGCAATAAGGGGGATATAGTTAAAGAGATCCGAAAATGCCGGAGAATTTTTTGATATCAAATCTGACCTTCTGTGGGTTGAGCATCTCGATGATCTTGTGTCTGAGACTAGTGTACTTCATGTTCAGCTCAGCGTTGGCCATGTCTAAAACCGGGAGTAATTTAGAAACAGCACCCACAAACACTGGTTTTACTGTTTTTTTTTGCAACAAGAATTATGAGTCATTTAGGTAAATTTTGCTAATCAAATTAGACAAAAAACACAAAAGAAAACATTCAAGAACTTCGATAGACTCAAGTGCACAAAGCCAATGAGCATCAACACTCGATAAATAGATTCATTCAGACAAAATTTGGATCTCAAAGCCTCATTAAATCAAAAGAGTTTTAAAAAACTACCTATACAATATTTAAGCATCACTGGGAGCTATTCTTATGACAGACGACCTCAAATCCACAAATTTTCAATTAAATAAACATCCTTCAAACTGTCCAAGACACTGATTTTGCAGCTTATTTTTTCAGCTTTCCGAATCCAAGTTTTTGATGGGTAGCATTATGATTGGGCATTTTTTTGATTTATGAAATGATGGATGGTGCTCGATACCCATAGAGTCCAATTTTTTCGCATCGTCAAAAACAGTTTTTTAATTTAATATTTCGATTTAAAGCCGTAACTCAATTTTAAGCAGATCAACTGCTGATCTCGTTATCTACGTTATCTAACCTTTCAAAGGGGGTTTCTTGGTTACATAAATTAACACAGGCGAATTGGAGCTTCGCAAGACTTGCTATACAACACAATTAAGACATTGTAAACTGCGAGAAATTGCGTAGTGCAAAAAAAAACAGAAAATTAAGATGACAAAATATAAGCCGATAATTTTTTATTGAAACAGAATATTTCCCGTTTCAACAAAAAAACTGGTTTTGGTCAGATTTACTCCAGGACCTTTGCCATCCCAGCCATATTCGTTGCCACCAGACTAAATGTGCCGGACACGCTAAGAAATTTGAATTCCTTGTGAACCAAGTGATTCTGTTAACCAAGTTGTTAGCCTGAAAAAAGTCTATATAACAATTTGATACGCCTGCGAATCGCAAGCGTAGTTAAAATGAAATAAGAAGAAAATTGATGCTTTGAAGAAAAATCCATGCTTCGGAAAGATTGTCCGACTATTCAAGATTTCCCAAAAAAAAACGATTTCCAAACATCAAACAAATATATGATCCGGCTTGGACTCAACCCTTAACCTTATGTGCCGACGGCCCGTGCCTCACCTCTACAACAAGTGAGAAAGGCCTGAAAAAGTGAGGTTCCACAAAAAGCAATTTCCATTTTATATAGACCTTTAAAAAACTGTCCCACCTGGACTCAATCCCCAGAACTGTCGCCTGTCAGAAAAGTTGTTTACGAGTACAAGTCACTTAATCTCGCAAATGCAAACATACTTTTCACATCATTGGACACAGAGGCGAAGCTTTGCTTCGCAAACACTAGCGAAAACACAAAAAGCAGCTCTAAAGTGAAATAAAAAAAAAAGTAAAAATAAGCCTCGAATTAGTAAGAACACTTTTATTTGCGAGTTAGCTTAGAAAAAAAGAAGGTCCGTACTAATACACTTCGCTCGCAAGATGGCTACTGTAATAAATTAATTCTTCTTTTTTTCTGTTCTGATCTGCAGCTTAGCCTAGCTTATCAATGCTTCTTATTTTCTTGAATTCAATAGATAATTTATACTCTTGGAGGGATTATTTATTGTCGTTTTATCTCTAGCTAGCTAGTGACTTACTCTGCGGACAGTACCATATGTTGCAGAGAGGGAATGAGGACCTGTTGTCTTTTGTCTTCACGTGCGGGATCCTCAGCATCTGTTTCGGCAGGTACTCAGCCACCAACTCCTCCGCTATATCCTCCAGTGATCTGTCCATGATGATACTCTCGCCCTAAAACAGTTACAGTACAAGTTAATAAAGTTATGCAACTTTGTTCCTTAAAATATAGATGGATCCATGAAGAAAACTGCACGGGCCTTGAATTATTCGAAAGCAGCATGCACATTTTTGAGCATCGAACTATTCCCATAAGAAAAGTTGGACTTATCATATTTGGAAAAAAAATCGGGCAAAGCATTATTAGAATGAAAATTGAATACCTTATTTTAGTAAAATGAATACCAAAAAGAATAAAATCAGTAGTATGTGAAAAGTTTGAGATTCCTGGAATATCAAGCAAATACTACTTACGTCGATTTGGTCCAAATGCACGTCGTTAGTTTCGTTGTTTATCGACACTAAACAATAAAATTGCAATTTTTCAAAAGCCCACGTAGAGAACTGGATTTTTCCTTCGATATCCTCGATGCCTTATTGAATAGAAAAATACATTTGTTGGGTATAATTTTCCAATCACGACAAACATGAAAAAATATATATTGATATTAGACGTGTCCTTTATTCCATTTTCTTTGGTGGAGGGTGTTTGCTATTTGGCTTCACGAAATGGGCGGGTAATAAGAGCTCAAACGAACTACTGCAATAAAAAAACAAATTGAGTCGCTCTGTATATCCTATAAACATTAACATTAAAAACAGAGGCGAAGCTGCTTTTCGCACTTTTCTCGGGTTTCTCCATTTTTAAATAACAGGCAGCAACGCATGCGCGTTAATAAAGCGGATGTAGCTGCATCATATGCTATGTAATTAACGCACAAATAAACTATGCGCCAAGTTTTGCACTGCAAAGATGCTTTTGTTGAAAAAAAATCACTGGTCGGCAAACACTACGTTTGCAGGCTTGCTTGTGAGTAGGCATAATTTGAACACCAATAACGCAAACCATTTGAAAAAATAAGTCCAAATTAGATTAAGTGATTAATAAAGAGCCACAAATAAAGCAGAGAACAGGTGCTATTCCAAATAAGTGAACACTTTTATTTGCGAGTTAGGTTGGAAAAAAGAAGAGTCGAACTAATACACAGGAGCTGGTGTAATCAAAATTTTGTATTTTTCTGCATGCGTGTGGGTGGGGGATTATCGCCAACAAAGCATGAGAACAGAAAGAAGTGTTCGCACCTGATTGGTTTAAATCAAACGAATTGCCAAAAAAAGAGTGGTATTAGGTAACAAAAATTTGGGCCGCTTTAGAAATAAAAGAGTTTTATTCAGGACGCATACTTACACACAATAGTGGCTGATGAATCGATCTTTCTGAGTCGCTTGAATTTGTTCATGACCGAAGCCACCTCCTCGTCCACATTGACGATGTTGAGCGAAATGGTCTCGCTGTTCATGTTAAAATAATAATACAGTACACTACACTGACACAACTAAATCTATCTGAAACTCACAAGTGACTCTAGCCTAAAATCAGACATTTTTCAATCAGCACGTTTGGTATCTGTTATTCTTTAGGATATTTCACCGCATGCAAAAGTCCATAAGCTTTTAGCACAGTGATAATTGATTAAAAAACAGCTTTTGTTTACGGTCTTAGTCATGGATACATTTACTATTACAAACAGTCAGAAATTTTTGACTTGAAATTTTTAAGCGTCTTAGGATACCGCTTTTTTCTCTATTTGGACGAAAAAATTTAAATTACACCAAATTGCATCGTAAGTAGCTTAAACAGTTCTTCAAAAACACTTGTCTTACATGACAAAAAGACTCAAATTTAGCATTTAAATTATTCAATCCATGAAAAAAAAAACATCAAAACATGGTCAGATGTGATTCAATCTGTTCGTCCAAAACTGCCCACGAATGAGGCGACTTCAGTCTCAAATCAACTTTGTTCTCATTTGATATGCCCAGAAGTTTCATTGCAAACGAGGCCAACAGAAAACCTTGAGGCCTGTTGTCTCCCTCAAGACAGTAAAGGAAAATAGCCGTTACATTTCCTTCCAGTTTAGCTGAGTTGTTCAGAAGAGAAGGAAGAAAACCAGAACCCGGATAAGTGTCTGAATCGTCCAGAGGAAACCTAAACATCACGAATTCTTTTGAAAGCGATTTTAAATAAAACTCAGGCTTTAACTCTGAATCAGCATGGGAGTTGCAGAACGGTGGTATGTCAGTAAATCGATGTATCAGTAAAGCAAAAACCGGCGGACCAAATCAGTAAACCGAAAACTCATTATTCAATTACGTAATCACATTAGCTAATAACTGAGATTTTTACAAAATGACAAATTATTTCCTTAACTAGAATTGAATCAGTAAATGAAATAAAATAACTCTTCTTATGAGCCCCGTACATTTTAAATTATTGTTCTAGCTCAGGGAATTTTTTTTCTATAAATCTTTAATTCCATAATTGATGTATTTAGTACGTATATCGATTTACTGTATGCACCCCTTGCGGAACATACAAACTGATGAGAAAAATCAACAGCAGACCCGCGCATCTATAAACTCTGTTACCATTTTATGATAATCCGAAGAAATATCCAGTTTAAAAAATCTACCAGCATATTTTACTCTTCTGCATAAGGATTTGAAAACATTAAGGTTTAACAACACCCTTGTTTATCACAAGGGTAATTACAATCAGATTTGAAAACAGCGATTTCACCGAAACAAAATTTCCATGATCGCAAGGGTTATAACGTACTCAGCACATGATGGTTCTGTGAACTCTTTGGCTCCAGTTGCTTTCAAATCATTGATCTGATTTGAGTCCAGTTTCAAGTCTGGCACTTTGAAATAGATCTGATCCGGACTCGCGATCGCTTTGTCTTGTCTCTCAACGGCATCTAAGCTCGACAGAACCAAAAGTTGTGATACTTTTTTACTACTCAGCCAACTGTATAAATCTTCGACAAAACAATGACGATATCTTTTAACAACAGAAGACCGAACTTGAATCAAAAGCAACTTGTGTTCTTTGCAAACGAACACATCAATGGCTGTTGTTGGTTTTCTACTCGATTTTCGAAGAGCATTTCGACCAAAAAGAGGAACAACTGCTTTATGAACAATCGATCCAATCTGCTCGCATGGCAGAGTGGCAATAATCAAGTCAAGAGATAGCTGTCCAACATTTCCAATTGATACTGTTGGCATTAAGCAGGTGAACCCTGACAAATCAGTAGTCTTCAAACTTCTCACCGGGCGAAACATTTTAATCTAAAGCATCAAGTGGACCATAATCAGAAGATATCAACTGGATTCTTAAGAAAATTAGGGATGGATGGATGATTGACCCTTTTTTAGAACATAGCCAATCAAATACTGTGGTCGCTTTTTGTGTTTTACATTTTAAAAATCAGGCCGAATCGAAATTTGCTTATTTGCACTGGTTGTAATTTGACCAATTTGATTTGGTAAAATTACAACCAGTGCAAATCAGCATATTTCGATTCGTCCGGATTTTTAAAATGTAAAACACAAAATGCAAAATCAGTATAAAGAATTCGATTCTTAGATGTAGGAACTAAGCCGAATAATATATGCCGACTAATAACAGGCCGAAGTTTTTTGAACCGGAATATTTATCGTTTGAAAAAAAAAACAGATCCTAGTAAGACTCGAACCAAAGACTTTAGCCGTCCCAGGCGTATTCGTTACCTCACGGCTAAGTGTGCAGGAGACGCTACGAGACTTGAGCTTCTTTATGAACCAAGGTACCACCAGGAGATTGAGTTTTGTGAACAAAGTTGTTTATGGGGGTAAAAAATCTAGTACCCAAGGGCAAAACAAGCAAATTGCACGGTTAACTCTTAAAAAAGCAATATTTCAAAGTCAGAGTTCTATTGCAAGAAAAAAAAATTGTTCGAATCAGAAGAAACGATAATCTAACTATTCAAAATTTTCCAAAAAAACTATTAAAACGTATGGAACAAAAACAAGGTCCGACCAGGGCTCCTAGCCCAGACCTAAAAACCCCAAGGAACGTGAGTTACCACTAGACCAAGTGAGAGTGGACCTCGATGGCTTTGATGTTAAATAAAAAAGTAAGTTCAATTTCTCAAAGATTTGTACGGAGTACAAAAACTTGTTTACGGGAAAAAGTCTAGTCCCCGCTACAAGTCACTTGTTCTCGCAAATGAAATTAAGTCGGGGCTATTAAATTCAAATCTATCGTTATAAAAAAAATTTCAATCGAACATTTATTTAAAATGCAGATATGCTCAAAACTGTCTGTTGGTTGACGTAAATGCAGAATCAGAAATTCCTAATGAGAAAATGGTCCAATGTTTTGAAGTTTCTTACTTGGAAAAAATATATATATATATTCCGTTTGGTGGTAAATAAACCAGTCGAATTAAACACCATCTTAAACTAGCTGAAAATAAGTAACTTCTTCATAAGTGGAGTAAAAATATTAAATTACGGTTAAAAAATTTATGCAAGTTTTATTCCAACGTCGTAACTTTCAGCTGGTTTACATACTATGCGCAATTTTGGCTGATTCACTCGAGCTCATTGTTCCGACCATTGAAAATGGGGATGAACTTCGTATTCGGGTGTTTTTAGTTAATTTTTTTTTCTTTTTTTATGTTTTCCGCTCAAAATCAGGTACCACAAATAATCATCGGAATGGGTCGAGTGATTCATCATATTAAAGCCCTTCCAGTCGTGATTAGAATACTCAAAAATTTTCCCAAAGTCGAGAAAAACTGGTTTGAAACTTTTGAGATCTAACCTAACTTCGAGCGAGTAACGCTCGTTATATGAAAATTTAGTTTTTTCTTAGACTTTTAGGATAAAAAAACCTTGAATTTACTATAAAAAAACGCTAGTTTTCGATGCTTAATTTAGCGCTTATTTGGCAAAAGAAGGTTTCCTAAAAAATAACAAGGATTGCAGGTTACTGTGCAAGTAGCACAGAATGTTCCGACCATAGTCTTTAGAAAACTACGGATTCGAAAGTTTTTTCCAAATAGTGTAGTTTTTCTGCATGGTGTGATAAAAGGATCTGACGTAAAAATTTTATTTAGGCATATTAGGCAGTTATAGCAAAATAGGCAATTTGGACAAAAGTTTTGTCGAAAAAAGACTAGACAAATTCAAAAAAGAAATAATTTAAAAGTTTTTTTTCAAAACTTTTTGCAGGAAATTTTTTAAACTTTTTGAAGCTTTTGGTTCCCAAAATGAAGCTAAAAAAACTCTAAAAACTAGTTTGACTTGCTTAAAATTAAAATTTAGGGTCTTTAATGATGCGTAATTCAGTTGTTTTAGGCATAATTAGGCATTGTTTAGCTGCTCTCTTGCTTTATTCGCTCGAATTAAGACAAAAATCAAAAAATTCCAACCGGTTTTTCTCGACACTGGCAAATTTATGTGAAAATTTTTAAATGTGGTTCGAAGGGCTTTAAATTGATATATCACTCAACCCAGTCCGATGATTACTTGCGGTAGCTGATTTTGAGTGGGAAAAAATTAAAACATACCCCAATTTTCAATGGTCGGAAAAAAAATAATTGTGCCAAAAAAAGTGTTTAAAATTATTCATTTTTTGTTTGTTATTCGTTTTTTGAAGCCAAATATAATCGATCACCCCCAATTTAATAAATTTCGACGCGATTGTATAGTTCTCGAAACACAACACCCATTAAAAACGACGGGTAAAAAAAACAAAAAACCTTCTTTCCTTTTTTTAATGAATATGGTCGGAATGTTCTGTGCTACTTGCAGAGCGACCGGTTACCGTTGTTCCTATTTGATACCGCTAATCACCAGCGTAAACAGGCTCTTGTACAACAATTGTTTGGCTATGAGCTTTCTTCGACATGGTCAAATTTGTCTAAGCTTAGTAAAACTTTTTCAGTCGTGAAAATTATATTGCAAACTTAAGACGTAGCTGGTAATTCAAAAGGTTCGCGATATTTTATGACTTTCTTAAAATTCATTTTATGCCGTCTCTTCTCGATATGTCTTTGACGCGCATTCATCCTTGATCTTGTCAGAGGCATTGGCTCAATGACATTCCTTTTGATTAAAGATGCTATCCTCTCCGTAAACAATGAATCACTTTCTGGGACCAGTTTTCTCAAACTGCCCGGCAGCTCTTCGGTCAACTTGAAGGAGGTTTTCATTTCTTCAGGTGGAGTCCGTCCAATAAGTCTGACTCTCTTTGGATCATTTTTTCTGGCTTGCTTCGCTTTCCACTTCAGATTCCTCAGATGTTCAATCTTGGAAATCTTCTTGTTGATGCTTTTGCCATGGAGAGCATCGTTTTCTCTGCCACGATTTAGGCGTTCTTTTTTCAATGCAATCTGAACGTTAAGCTTTTCCTTAGCCTTTCTTTTAAGTTGATCTCGTTGCTTGGGTGTCATTTTCAGTTTTCGGTTACTTAGAGGCGCATGAGATATGATTACATTTTCCACGTCTTCTTTGCCCGAAAATTTCTGGTTACAGATTTTATCTTCCTCGCATAATTTCTGCTTGAAATAAAAGTTTTCAATTCCTTCTAAATGAGCAGCTTCTTTCTCTTGGTGAGTTACCGACGGTACTTGGGCCCAAAAATCTCTTTCTTCTTTCAGTTTTGCTTCTTCAGTCTCCTCTCGCTTTAGCACATCTACTAGAAGCTGTTGATGATCTGTAAATGAAGGATTGTATGATACGCCACCTGACGGCAAACTCAGGTGTTCGTTTGCGTTAGGTTTACTGACAGATTTCTTCTTCTTGGATAAGTTTGCTGTTCCCCAAATATCTTTGTCAAATGAATAGTCTCGAGGCAAATTATTCAATCCATGAAAAAAAACATCAAAACATGGTCAGATGTGATTCAATCTGTTCGTCCAAAACTGCCCACGAATGAGGCGACTTCAGTCTCAAATCAATTTTGTTCTCATTTGATATGCCCAGAAGTTTCATTGCAAACGAGGCCAACAGAAAACCCTGAGGCCTGTTGTCTCCCTCAAGACAGTAGAGGAAAATAGCCGTTACATTTCCATCCAGTTTAGCTGAGTTGTTCAGAAGAGAAGGAAGAAAACCAGAACCCGGATAAGTGTCTGAATCGTCCAGAGGAAACCTAAACATCACGAATTCTTTTGAAAGCGATTTTAAATAAAACTCAGGCTTTAACTCTGAATCAGCATGGGAGTTGCAGAACGGTGGTATGTCAGTAAATCGATGTATCAGTAAAGCAAAAACCGGCGGACCAAATCAGTAAACCGAAAACTCATTATTCAATTACGTAATCACATTAGCTAACAACTGAGATTTTTACAAAATGACAAATTATTTCCTTAACTAGAATTGAATCAGTAAATGAAATAAAATAACTCTTCTTATGAGCCCCGTACATTTTAAATTATTGTTCTAGCACAGGGAATTTTTTTCTATAAATCTTTAATTCCATAATTGATGTATTTAGTACGTAAATCGGTGTACTGTATGCACCCCTTGCGGAACATACAAACTGAGCCATGAGAAAAATCAACAGCAGACCCGCGCATCTATAAACTCTGTTACCATTTTATGATAATCCGAAGAAATATCCAGTTTAAAAAATCTACCAGCATATTTTACTCTTCTGCATAAGGATTTGAAAACATTAAGGTTTAACAACACCCTTGTTTATCACAAGGGTAATTACAATCAGATTTGAAAACAGCGATTTCACCGAATCAAAATTTCCATGATCGCAAGGGTAATAACGTACTCAGCACATGATGGTTCTGTGAACTCTCTGGCTCCAGTAGCTTTTAAATCATTGATCTGATTTGAGTCCAGTTTCAACTCAGGCACTTTGAAATAGATCTGATCCGGACTCGCGATCGCTTTGTCTTGTCTCTCAACGGCGTCTAAGCTCGACAGAACCAAAAGTCGTGATACTTTTTTACTACTCAGCCAGCTGTATAAATCTTCGACAAAACGATGACGATATCTTTTAACAACAGAAGACCGAACTTGAATCAAAAGCAACTTGTGTTCTTTGCAAACGAACACATCAATGGCTGTTGTTGGTTTTCTACTCGATTTTCGAAGAGCATTTCGACCAAAAAGAGGAACAACTGCTTTATGAACAATCGATCCAATCTGCTCGCAAGGCAGAGTGGCAATAATCAAGTCAAGAGATAGCTGTCCAACATTTCCAATTGATACTGTTGGCATTAAGCAGGTGAACCCTGACAAATCAGTAGTCTTCAAACTTCTCACCGGGCGAAACATTTTAATCTAAAGCATCAAGTGGACCATAATCAGAAGATATCAACTGGATTCTTAAGAAAATTAGGGATGGATGGATGATTGACCCTTTTTTAGAACATAGCCAATCAAATACTGTGGTCGCTTTTTGTGTTTTACATTTTAAAAATCAGGCCGAATCGAAATTTGCTTATTTGCACTGGTTGTAATTTGACCAATTTGATTTGGTAAAATTACAACCAGTGCAAATCAGCATATTTCGATTCGTCCGGATTTTTAAAATGTAAAACACAAAATGCAAAATCAGTATAAAGAATTCGATTCTTAGATGTAGGAACTAAGCCGAATAATATATGCCGACTAATAACAGGCCGAAGTTTTTTGAACCGGAATATTTATCGTTTGAAAAAAAACAGATCCTAGTAAGACTCGAACCAAAGACTTTAGCCGTCCCAGGCGTATTCGTTACCTCACGGCTAAGTGTGCAGGAGACGCTACGAGACTTGAGCTTCTTTATGAACCAAGGTACCACCAGGAGATTGAGTTTTGTGAACAAAGTTGTTTATGGGGGTAAAAAATCTAGTACCCAAGGGCAAAACAAGCAAATTGCACGGTTAACTCTTAAAAAAGCAATATTTCAAAGTCAGAGTTCTATTGCAAGAAAAAAAAATTGTTCGAATCAGAAGAAACGATAATCTAACTATTCAAAATTTTCCAAAAAAACTATTAAAACGTATGGAACAAAAACAAGGTCCGACCAGGGCTCCTAGCCCAGACCTAAAACCCCAAGGAACGTGAGTTACCACTAGACCAAGTGAGAGTGGACCTCGATGGCTTTGATGTTAAATAAAAAAGTAAGTTCAATTTCTCAAAGATTTGTACGGAGTACAAAAACTTGTTTACGGGAAAAAGTCTAGTCCCCGCTACAAGTCACTTGTTCTCGCAAATGAAATTAAGTCGGGGCTATTAAATTCAAATCTATCGTTATAAAAAAAATTTCAATCGAACATTTATTTAAAATGCAGATATGCTCAAAACTGTCTGTTGGTTGACGTAAATGCAGAATCAGAAATTCCTAATGAGAAAATGGTCCAATGTTTTGAAGTTTCTTACTTGGAAAAAATATATATATATATTCCGTTTGGTGGTAAATAAACCAGTCGAATTAAACACCATCTTAAACTAGCTGAAAATAAGTAACTTCTTCATAAGTGGAGTAAAAATATTAAATTACGGTTGAAAAATTTATGCAAGTTTTATTCCAACGTCGTAACTTTCAGCTGGTTTACATACTATGCGCAATTTTGGCTGATTCACTCGAGCTCATTGTTCCGACCATTGAAAATGGGGATGAACTTCGTATTCGGGTGTTTTTAGTTAATTTTTTTTTCTTTTTTTATGTTTTCCGCTCAAAATCAGGTACCACAAATAATCATCGGAATGGGTCGAGTGATTCATCATATTAAAGCCCTTCCAGTCGTGATTAGAATACTCAAAAATTTTCCCAAAGTCGAGAAAAACTGGTTTGAAACTTTTGAGATCTAACCTAACTTCGAGCGAGTAACGCTCGTTATATGAAAATTTAGTTTTTTCTTAGACTTTTAGGATAAAAAACCTTGAATTTACTATAAAAAAACGCTAGTTTTCGATGCTTAATTTAGCGCTTATTTGGCAAAAGAAGGTTTCCTAAAAAATAACAAGGATTGCAGGTTACTGTGCAAGTAGCACAGAATGTTCCGACCATAGTCTTTAGAAAACTACGGATTCGAAAGTTTTTTCCAAATAGTGTAGTTTTTCTGCATGGTGTGATAAAAGGATCTGACGTAAAAATTTTATTTAGGCATATTAGGCAGTTATAGCAAAATAGGCAATTTGGACAACATTTTTGTCGAAAAAAGACTAGACAAATTCAAAAAAGAAATAATTTAAAAGTTTTTTTTCAAAACTTTTTGCAGGAAATTTTTTAAACTTTTTGAAGCTTTTGGTTCCCAAAATGAAGCTAAAAAAACTCTAAAAACTAGTTTGACTTGCTTAAAATTAAAATTTAGGGTCTTTAATGATGCGTAATTCAGTTGTTTTAGGCATAATTAGGCATTGTTTAGCTGCTCTCTTGCTTTATTCGCTCGAATTAAGACAAAAATCAAAAAATTCAAACCGGTTTTTCTCGACACTGGCAAATTTATGTGAAAATTTTTAAATGTGGTTCGAAGGGCTTTAAATTGATATATCACTCAACCCAGTCCGATGATTACTTGCGGTAGCTGATTTTGAGTGGGAAAAAATTAAAACATACCCCAATTTTCAATGGTCGGAAAAAAAATAATTGTGCCAAAAAAAGTTTTTAAAATTATTCATTTTTTGTTTGTTATTCGTTTTTTGAAGCCAAATATAATCGATCACCCCCAATTTAATAAATTTCTACGCGATTGTATAGTTCTCGAAACACAACACCCATTAAAAACGACGGGTAAAAAAAAAACAAAAAACCTTCTTTCCTTTTTTTAATGAATATGGTCGGAATGTTCTGTGCTACTTGTAGAGCGACCGGTTACCGTTGTTCCTATTTGATACCGCTAATCACCAGCGTAAACAGGCTCTTGTACAACAATTGTTTGGCTATGAGCTTTCTTCGACATGGTCAAATTTGTCTAAGCTTAGTAAAACTTTTTCAGTCGTGAAAATTATATTGCAAACTTAAGACGTAGCTGGTAATTCAAAAGGTTCGCGATATTTTATGACTTTCTTAAAATTCATTTTATGCCGTCTCTTCTCGATATGTCTTTGACGCGCATTCATCCTTGATCTTGTCAGAGGCATTGGCTCAATGACATTCCTTTTGATTAAAGATGCTATCCTCTCCGTAAACAATGAATCACTTTCTGGGACCAGTTTTCTCAAACTGCCCGGCAGCTCTTCGGTCAACTTGAAGGAGGTTTTCATTTCTTCAGGTGGAGTCCGTCCAATAAGTCTGACTCTCTTTGGATCATTTTTTCTGGCTTGCTTCGCTTTCCACTTCAGATTCCTCAGATGTTCAATCTTGGAAATCTTCTTGTTGATGCTTTTGCCATGGAGAGCATCGTTTTCTCTGCCACGATTTAGGCGTTCTTTTTTCAATGCAATCTGAACGTTAAGCTTTTCCTTAGCCTTTCTTTTAAGTTGATCTCGTTGCTTGGGTGTCATTTTCAGTTTTCGGTTACTTAGAGGCGCATGAGATATGATTACATTTTCCACGTCTTCTTTGCCCGAAAATTTCTGGTTACAGATTTTATCTTCCTCGCATAATTTCTGCTTGAAATAAAAGTTTTCAATTCCTTCTAAATGAGCAGCTTCTTTCTCTTGGTGAGTTACCGACGGTACTTGGGCCCAAAAATCTCTTTCTTCTTTCAGTTTTGCTTCTTCAGTCTCCTCTCGCTTTAGCACATCTACTAGAAGCTGTTGATGATCTGTAAATGAAGGATTGTATGATACGCCACCTGACGGCAAACTCAGGTGTTCGTTTGCGTTAGGTTTACTGACAGATTTCTTCTTCTTGGATAAGTTTGCTGTTCCCCAAATATCTTTGTCAAATGAATAGTCTCGAGGCAAATCAGACTTTTTATCAAGA